CTCGTCCTCGCGCACGCCCACTACGCCGGTGCGCTGCAGGTCTCCGACCCGCTCCTTACATCCCAGGGTAGTGGAGGACGCAAGGCCCTCGCTCGTCCCTTGCCCCGCTCCCGCCCTCCGATCTCTGCCTCCCCGTGTCATTCGTCTCCATGTCTGTTTCCCATCCCGTCCGCGTCCGCGTTCATATCCTCGCCATCGACACTGCGTTGCTCCGACTCCGCGCACTGCCACTGCCCCGCACCAAGATGCCACCGTGGGGCGGGACTACGCGTGATAGTGTCCCCAGCCACACTCTGCCTCTGCGCTCCCCTCGTCAAGACCCCGCGGTATTCGGCCGATTCACCTTGCCCTTGCCTTGCTCTTATACTCACTGCTTGCGCGCTGACGATGTCAGCACACGCACGGCGAGCACGGAGCGCGAGCTTCTCACCACACCGGGTACAGAGACGGTGTCACCGACGTCGCTCGTGACGCCCGACGCTCTCGTCTATGAACGCAGAGGCGTGTACCATATCCGTGATGCGGCTTCAGCGGGTTCGCAGCGCGCATGGTGGGGCGTCACCGACGCACGCCGCGAGTTCGCTCAGGCGCCTCTCGGGGAGCTATATAGTCGGTTCGCAGCGTGCAAGAGGCGCCAACCGCTCGCCACGCTGGGTACGCGGACGGCGCCTCGGACGTCGTTTGCGGTCAGCGAGCTCGCTCGGGCAGCTCTCGGGGGGCTGCAGTGGGTTAGCAGCGCGGACGAAGCGCTAGTCCCTCGCCACGCCGGGTACGCGGACGGCGACGCTTGACGACTCCGCTCATCGCGGGCATGGACGTCGTCGCTCGTCCCGAGTATGGGCGGCGACTGCGGACGCGGCAGCCTTGCCCAAGACTCGCGGCGCGCGGGTACGGGCAAAAGCGAGTGCGAATGGAAGGAGCAGCCCACCTACGCCCGCACGCTGCCTCATGTGCGGCGGAGTCGTCGTCCGTTGACGTCGTCAGTTGACCCGAGGATGGGCGGGGACCGCGGGCATGTGGAGAGGCAGCTTGGCGAGGCTAGACTCGCAGGCGGCGCTGGCGCGGTGGGCGGGGGAATGCCAGTGGGCATGGAAGGGGCAGCGCCTCCTATCCAGGTCCTCTCCACCTACGGGCTGCGGTGCGCTCTTGCCCCCGCACGCTGTAATAACAGCTACATCGAGGACTGCAGCGGGTTCGTGGGGAAGTACGAAGCCCGCACGCCGCACCATACCGGATTTCGATCTCAAGAGCGCGGGCATACCAGTGCGGGCAAGGCGGCGTGCCCGTGGGCCCAACCCGCCTCGTGCTGAAAGTCCCCTTGCTCTGCAGCACCGGCCCTCTCCTCGGATATCGAGTGCGTCTACGGTGCGGACGTGTCTGGTGCCTGCGTGTTTCCGGGCGCGGAGGGGAGTATATAGAGGGGTAGAGGTTGACCAGTGCGAATGAGGCGAAGATGATGGCGCGGCCCAACGCGGCGGTGGGTCTGCTCAGCCGTGCACGAAAGGAAGGGACGTCGGACCATGCATGTACGATGGTGTTTGCTGTACTGCACCTGGCATATGTTCTTTTTTTCTTTTCTTTTCTTCCCGTTTGTATCTGGACTTGGCGCAAATCACAATGTCCATTTCAAGGGAGGCAAATCAATGATTTGGTTGCCTTTCGGCCTGAAGAAGCCCTTTAAAAAATGGCGTCTTGCAAATGCAATTCGGATGGCGGGGGTCGAACCCGGACCTCCCGCTTGGATCTCGTCCTGATGCGCATTGCGAGCGGGTGCGCGCCATGCACAACATCCGATTTATTCCTGACCATGCGTACCGGGGTATATAGGTTGGTGAAATTCCGCTATTGTGCGAGATTGAGCAATCACATTGAATGTGTTCAAGTTGAAGGGATCAAGGATCAATCATGTCTACGTCTGCGTCGAGTGTGAGGAGAATCATACTGGAAAATAAACGAAGGACTCTCGATACTCCCCCAAAAACAACCTTAATGGACCAGGAACAATGAGCCAAAAGCAACGCAACATCGGCTATTCGGACGCTGGGAGTCGAACCCAGGATTCCAGCAGATCAAGATCATTGCTTGGAATATAATCAGGAAATGGTGTGCGCCGTGCACCACATCGGATGCGGTATTGCCGGTGGTACTACCATATGTGCAGGGCATTTCGACTCGTTAAAAGCAGAACGGAATGCAAAACGCAATGATCAATTTGTGATATACTTTGAACGGTAAAGGGGACTGGCATATATACTGCCCAGAAAGCGAGGGTACGGTTTCCTTGTCACATACTCGTATGTTCGTTAGAGATACGGACAAAAAGAAAAACCCACCCACTAGGATGCTGGGAGTCGAACCCAGGACGCTCGCTGATTTACCGACAAATGGATCTATCCGGTGGAAACGATGCACCACATCCGATTTATTGTGTAGTGGGGGTCCCGGATGTTACCACCGTTTAAAAAAAAATCGAGGCTGAAAGTAACCTAGTCCGCCTCTGTTAAAGCCCTACCTATGGCATACTTGTACAGTAAAACACTCTCCTCAGACAAAAGAAACAGCTGAGGTGTGGGTATGTACCTTCGGACCACAGAGCATTGGAAACTGAGGCCAGGTCTCGCGCTGACTACATTTCAACAAGTTGAAGGTTGGAGGAACGCCCGGGCCGGCGGGCGATGGTAACAAATCAATTGCCAAACACCGGCACATCCTGTCTTCCAACCGTCACAGGCTTCAAAACTCTTCAAAATCGTAAGGCAACAGCTTTCGTTCTTGCTCTCTATCTAATCCAACAGAAGAGCCAGTGCGATCGAAGGCGATGTCCTCACCGAGCTCGAACAGTCGGGGATCTCCAGTAGGGGCGAAATCAGATGTCGTAGTAGCAGTAACAGTGTACGCACATTCTTCTCTTGACCGTTAAGCATCCACCTCAACGCGGCCGTAATCCAGGAAAGAGGATGGATGCTCTAATGCCAATGTACAGCAACAAATGGACTCCATCGACGCCGAAATTGCCTGGCACTATGCACAGATCGCAATGCTCAAAGCCAAACGAAATGCAATCGCCCCAATCAGCAGACTTCCCAACGAACTCTTGTCCAGGATAATCACAAGATACGCAGTCGATTCGGATGAATTGGCCAACCTAAAATGGACGAAAATCATGAAAGTCTGTTGGCGCTGGCACAATCTAGGGCTTTCAGCCCAATTACTGTGGGCCTTCATCAAAACTGACTGGAGCTTGAGCTTAGGGAGGGAGAGGCTACACGGGCAAATACAGCGTTCAGGCGTTGCTCCACTCACATTGACCATCAGGGACTGTGACTCCGACCGTTATAACTGGATCATCTTCGAGCAATCCGCTCGTATACAACATCTGGAAATATCTGGCGAAGCGCCACACATTTACGACCTACTTACCAACATCAATGACCATGACTTCCCAATCCTCGCGTCTTTGCATCTCGATCTAGGTGTCGACCGGGACCAAATTCCCGGGGATTTTGTCGCGGTGCCCAATGGCATGTTAGGCAGCCCAAGGCTTCGTGGACTGACCCTGTCATTCATCGATGTCCCGTGGATGTCCATTCGCGGCCTCGAATCTCTCTCACTCAGTCACTGCAACAACTTCGGCGCCGGTTCCATTCAGAATTTCGACGCCTTATTCACGATGCTTGAAGCGTGCCCCCAATTACAAATTTTGCGGCTGGAGGATGTTCTCCCCGCGCAGGGCGATTTCCCGGGAGATCGGACCATACATCTCCCAGCCTTAGCCGATCTGCGACTCGGTGACCACATATCCGTCTGCCGAACGATTTTGAATCACCTAGACTTCCCCTCGAGCGCGATGGTGCAAATACACCCAACGGATGTGCACGGTGATGAGGACGTTCGAGAAATTCTGGTCCGTATTCGCAGGCGCATGGATGCCCCAGGTGCTCCAGTCCCTTCCCTCCTCAAGATTGAGTCCTTCGGCGTTCTGGATGACCCATGGGCACAACCGCCCTACTTGACGATGAGCACTTATTCAGAATCCGCGCCGCCGGACCGACTCGACCACGACGCGCAATTCCTTCTCAGTTCACATCCAGATGACGCGGACACCCTTCGTCAGATCATGGCCAAAGTCATTTTGGCCCTCCCATTCCAACATATCACTCGTCTCGACATTCGATCAGCGACGTACGGCGAGCCGCGTTTGTGGATGACTGCGCTCAAACTCCTTCCTTCCCTGGAGACAGCCTACATCCGAGCCAATCGCGGCGCAAGGCACTTCCTTAACGCACTGATCGAGGTCGAAAGCTTAGATCCCCTAGGACAGCCGTATCCCCACATCAGCCATCTCCACCTTGTCGTTGGGGCCCGGGATCAGGAGCAGGACTTAAATTACACCCTCAGTCTCTTGCAGACGTACCTACAGCTGTGTCGCGAGTTCGGCACTCCGCTACCCGTCCTCGAGGTCGAGACCGAAGAACGCCGTTTCCCCCCCTGGGAATACGAAGAGCTGCTTGAAGGTCTCCTCTTATTGGAGGGTGACAAGATAATCTGCGACGGCACAGTGTATCGTCCGGATCCCATGGCCTGAAGCATCCTCGATAATGATCAAGAGAATGAATGGAGGGGCGACGGATGTCAGCAGAGACTGCAAACAGAGAAAACAAAAGAGCAACAACTTCGAGGCCTAAAAGATCGAAACTCAAAAAGCAGTTAATAGAAAGGATGCTGGGAGTCGAACCCAGACCGCTCGCCGAAGGGAAATTTTGCAGGAGTATCGAAAGCGAGTGCGCACCTTGCACGACATCCGATTTATTCCCTCCCAGATACCTAGTTCTTAAGCTTGAAATCGAGTCGATTGGTGCGGGATAGAGCAAAGGTTGAAATTTAAAGTGACCCTGTAAGCCGCGTTCTCGTTCATGTCAATGACCATTTACACAGGGAATTGACGTGCAAGCCCATCCGAAACCGCCCAAGGTAGAAAAAGTTTAATCGCCTTGATGGGACTCGGACGCTGGGAGTCGAACCCAGGCTTCCCGCTTGGTGAATTCAATGAAGCTGGCAGACTGAGATTTACAGCGGGCGTGCACCGTGCACCACGTCCGAGTTGATATCTTTTGTGAGCAACGGAGGAGGTGGGTGAGATTTGAGACTTTAGTTTGGTTGAAATAGCTGGGTCGCTTGTGGGGTTGTTTTGTTCTCGGGTGAGATCTTAGCTTGGTTGACTGATAGCACGTTGCGGTTGATTTGTACAGTTTCTCTTCTCTCCAGGTTTCCCGCTAATCGATTTGATTGACCAAGCAGATGCACCGTGACTGTGGCTAACGGAGGAGGCGGTGAGGTAGTAATTAACGACTCGGACCAAGCCCGTTCGAAACCCAAAAAGCGGTATCAAAAAAGATCCTGTTACCCCGGCGGACTCGGTCGCTGGGAGTCGAACCCAGGCTTCCCGCTTAGCGAAGTTTACGAAGTTGGCAGCATTTACAGCGGGCGTGCACCGCGCACCACGTCCGAGTTGATATCCCTTGTGGGCAACGGAGGAGGTGGGCGAGATTTCAGCTTAGTCTCGGTCATTTGTAAGATTTGTTTTGGCTTTCTCGTAGTACGCATCACATTGTCTTGCAATTCTAATCATTTTGCTACTCTCTATCACTTAAAGCCTTTTGTGAAACATGAGAATGAGTTGTAAACTGGGAATGATATAGATTCTGACTCACTTTTGGACTCTAGGAACAACGCACCCAGACGCACACCACTACCGCTTCCTCCCCTTCCTCGCCCCCGCCGACGCAGCAAACCCCTTCTCGACGCATTCCCTGCAATACCACTTCTCGGGCGTCGGCTGCGTGAGTTGCACGCATGAGATGTGGAACTGCGGAACGTTGAGAATTCAACTGTACAGTGAAAGGAAGGAGGAAAGAAGAAGCAGAAGCAGAAAAGACGGACCCATTCGTATTGACACTGGTCGTTATCGCACGCGATCATCTGTCGTTGTGTCAGAACGGTGTGCGCATCACAGAAAGAAGACGAGAAAGAAAGCAAGAAGAAGAGAAAGGAGAAGAAAGCAAGAACGCACATCGCCGTAACTCTGCTTCTGACAAAAACAATACAGATTCTCGTCCTCGCCTTCGCCCTCCTCCTCGCCCACCACGTCCATGGCCACGTCGATCTGGCGGGAGAGCCGCGAGCGCTTGTGCGAGTTGGAGTGCGAGTTGGAGTTGGGGTTGGAGGAGGTCAAGGGCGAGGCGGAGCGGCGGGGTGGCGAGGGGGCAGACACGGGCGCGAGCTTGATGGAGGTTGTAGGCGCCGTTATGCGGCGTTCTAGCACAGCGAAGATATCAGTGACACCGTTTACCAAGGAGGACAGAGCACCCACTCTTCTGCACAGGACCGACCGATATCGACGCATTCGCGGACACGGAGGGCGTGGACGGCACGTGCTGCCGAATTTCGGGCACCGCGCGCAGACTCTCGCTAACCTGCGACACGGGCGTGCGAGAGCTGCCGGAGTAGATCTCAGCCTTGACCAGCGGCGTGCTCGGCAATGCGGCAAAAGACGGCTCCGCGGCGTCGCCCTGCAGGACGCGTACCTTGGCGAGGTCCGCGTCGAGGCGCGCGCGGTTGCGGGCGATGAGGTCGATGATGCGCTGCGCGATGGCGCATTTCTCGGTGGAGAGCGCGTCGATCTGGGCGTATGCGGCTTCGATTTTTCCTGGAATGAGGAGGGACTTGGGGGAGGGCGGTCGTGGGGGGCCTGGGGAGGGGGAGGCGGAAGAAGACGACGCGGCATTGGACGCCCTCAAGGAGTGGCGGATGTACCGCGACGAGTCTCTGTCGATTTCGGACTGCAGGTCTGGGAGAGATTAGGTTCAAATTGATGCGGGAGACACCGCATACCCTGCACTCTGGCATCTTTTGCTTTTATTTCTTGAAGGAGGTGGGCGACTTCGTTGGGCAAGTTATCGAGGCCTACGGGACGCGTAAAATTCTCAGTGACCTCGGGGGAACGCGTAGACGTACTGTATATGAACTCGGACACGATATTCGACGCATCTTCGAGACTTTGTGGATTAGCATTCATCGGACATGGACGTTCGGGACAAGAGGTGTCACGGCGAGTGACTCTGAGTAACGCTTATGAGACTGATCCGGTCTATCGTCCTCCGAAGGTAACATATGAAAATAAACACAGAACTGGTTGAAAATGTTTTTCACTGGCCCAAGTAATAGAGGAATACGAGGCCGTTTAGCCTGGGGTTCATTGAGATATGGGCGCTCTTGGTTGCGTCGTATGACACGAAAGTTGCGGCGACGCCTCTTGATTTGGGCAGACACTGCTACATTACGACGATTGGACCTTGGTACATTTATCACCAGTGGATGTTCTAGTAAACACATTCACCGCCCACTGGCTGTCATCCGCACTTGCTGCTTAACTTAATTAAAGGTCTTGAAATTTCTAACAACTCATATTATGAAAATATATATCCTTTGCCCTGAAGCCCCATCGCGCGGCTGCGGGACTCATTCTTGACGTTGTTCGTGTTCAAATTGGTGGGATGGAGGGAAGCTTTGGAGGTCGTTGGAGGACAAATGTATGTATGTAATATATGGAAGAATTAATACCCTCGCCCCGATACCGCAAGAGATTGCTTGCAAATACAAAGATGGAAAGGATTTGGAAGCTGAAACGATTGTATGTATTATATGAACGACTAAAAACAATTTAACACTACTGATGCACACGACCCCAAGAAAAAAAGAGGAAATTGTCCGCGCGACGAAATCATAGCCACAATGAGCGGAATTGTTGGATCGCCGCTTCCAGCTTGGCGGGGTCGATAGTGGGGTCGGTAGGCTGCTTGCCCGAGCCGCTCGACACGGCGAGATTGGTGAGGTCAATGCTCAGCGGCAGAATTTCGGTGCAGTCCGTGAGACCCTTCTGGTTGATACCGAGAAGACTCATTTTCAGGTGTGCGTCGGCGTATTCACGACCCCTGCGAAGAATGATTAGCTGCGTCTCCGGTATATATGGTAAGAAGCACCAGTCGCTCTGCTTCCCAACGAAGCGGTTGTAGTCTTGCTGCGTGGTTGCGTTGTGCGAGAAGTTGACGTCGCTGTTCAAACGGAAGGTTCCTGAATCGCGAAGGGCGGTGAGCATTTGGTTGGAGCGGGTGTCGAGAAATATCAACATACCAGGCGCAGCAGTGGCTTGCTGGGTCTCGGAGTAGAAGCGCACATCCCAAACGTCCGGGGTGCTGTCCAGAGTCTCGCCCGCTACTGAGGGGTTGACAAAACGTTGCTTGGCCGTTGAGTGTGCGCCCATAAGCGCCATCATCTCGCGGATGCTGAAACCCATGTCCGCAAACCGATCTGTGAGGACTTTGACAGGGCTGTTGGGGTTGGGGAGCAGGTTGTCGGGGGCAATGTTCTTGGGCAGGGGGCGGCCGACGAGGGTCTTGATTTGGGGACCGCCGGGGCAGGCGAGCTAAGGACGAAGGGTCAGATCGAATAGACGGTGTGAAGTTGAATCAAAACTCACAACACCCAGGACACCAGCAAGCTGTCGGTTACAAAAACATGAGTATAGGTAAAGCGGTGAAATAAAGGAGGCTCACATGAAGGACATCGCCAGGACCGACGTTGAATCGTGCGGGGAGAGGCGTGAGGGCCTCGACAATGGGTCCCAAGCCGCTGTTCTCCCCGCGCTTGACTTCGTCGCCGTCAGTCAACATCGATCCGTCCGCGGCCCCGTTTGGCAGCCCCTTTGCCTGGAGCGCCAGCGAGAAAGGACCGGCGTCGTGGAAGGCCAGGCGCACCGATGCACGGGCTAAATCGCCACAACGTCCTGGTTACGTTCAGCAGATGATATGTGTCCAAAAGAATTCAACATACCATGATACAACTCGCCCATGATAGCGTCGCGCACGTCGTACCACGGTTTGCAGACCGGGTTTTTGGCATTGGCTTTGAGTGGGATGCCATTGTTAGCGCTCCCCCCACTGCGCACCAGCTGCGGGCCGGCGTATGTGGGAACAGTCAAGCTGAGGAGCACAGTGGCCAAGAGGGAGAGGAGAGGAGCAGAGACCGAGTGCATGATGATTAGATTATTGGGTGAGTGTGAGGAGTGCTTCGGTGGGGGGAATTCCCAAAGGGTGATCCAAAGAAAGGTGAAGGAGGGAGAGGGATCTGGGGAAACCAGTGGGAGATTGCGCCAGATTTTATACTTCTGCGGTTAGGGTCAAATCACGGTTGAATCAGGGTCGGGCTGTGGTTCATTTTCGGGCCGCGTGTCTCAAATGATCGCTCCGCTCTCCGCTCTCCTGCCCGACCAAGTGCTTCATCGAGTGCTTTTTCGAGCATTGTCATTTGTCTGGGTGCTTATCCTTTCTTCGCTTTCAAAAATCGCCTCTTTATCCCAGCTACAGCAAAAGATACGAACGTAAATATGAACGGCAATCGTGCCGATCGATCAGCCGAGGAGCCCGACAATAATCGGCCCGCCTGATTCATGCTCCACTTCAAGAATGGAGTCCGGTCTGAACAGAAATCCGGGACGGATCTTCCGACAGGGGAACCATGGTTTTCTTCCAGTCCAGCAGAACAGGAAGAACAAGAACTTGGCGAGTATTTTTGCCCGTGAATGCACGAATCGAAACACACGCATTCGAAATGAATACACTCAGGCAGGACATATACACAGTCATAAAGCGACACAACAAATACAGGCACTCATCTGAATTTCCTCGGGCTGGCAAGCCTGTCTAGATCGAGCTACTTCTTGAAATCTCCGAACTGCCAGTTGAAGCATTCCTTCAACGCATCGTTAGTAATTGAGAGCAAAGAAGAACTTGAGGCAAAAAACACCCACTACACAATCGGTCTCCTCATCCACGAGCGGCACCTCCAGCCCGGTAGCAGGGTCCCAGTCCTCATTGAGGAGCTTGTCGATGAGGTACTGAATCGAATGTGTGCGGGAGTCGACAGACCAGCCACGCTGGCTGACCGTGTCGTATAAGATGCGCTGCCCGAGGTGGCATCTGTCCATCGTGAGCATCGATATATTATGCAGGGATTCGCAGGGTACCTAGTCTCAAGCGCGAAGCCGCCGAGGGAGCAGGGTGACGTGATGCCGGTGCAGGTTCCCATGGCCATAGGCTACCCCGGACATTGTAGTTGTAAGTACGAGAGACGGTTGAGAAAGAGAGGCAGTGCACATCGGCGGTGTGGTAGACGTGCGTGATGTGGTGTGTCGAAGGCTGCGATGGCCCGTTAGCAGTGCAATATTGGGATAATGGTTATTTACGGGAGAGGGCAAGTGAAGGCGGGCTGCGGCCATCTTGTCGCCAGGTGTTTCGAAGGCAACAACGGGCGCGCCGAAGGTCACGCCAAGAAGGGAGGCTAGCGCGCCGCCAAGGCTATGGCCTCCTCAAAAATTAGCAAAGAATCACAAGTAAGATTGCGGGGATGATGCATACCGGTGAGCCATATATTGGCCATTGGGTACATGTACG